ACTCTCATATCTGCTTCTGGTTTTTCCGAATAGAAGTGCCTGGTCCTGCTTAATAAATTGTTCAGTAGCATCCTGTACCACAGGAAGCAAAGGAAAAATTTTCGCTGGTGGACCTTGATTCAAAGCTGCATTTGATTCAGTTTGGCATGATGGCCTGCTCTATAAAAAATCAATTTCGTGTTGGGAATATATCCTTGGATTGCTAATTTCTTGAACCAGAACAATCAGAGTAAAGTGAGAGGGTCTTTTCAAGACGCTATGAGCTTACCAGCCTGTTTCTTCGGCTGCATTTTGTCTTATTTTTTCTTCCAATCTTCATGCACGATATCTATGAATTATCCCATCTAATGTCGACTGCTACGTGTTGCAGACGACATATTCCTCTACAGTGCAGATGTCTCGGTCCCCAGGGTAGTCAGTAATTTGCTGTGTGCAGTTTAAAGTGCAGAGGGGCTAAAGAGTGGACTTTGCATTCCCAAGAAATAATCGATTTTTCAGTGGGACAAGAGAGTGAAGAGACTCTGAGCTTGATGGTGTTAGCATCCCTACAGAGATAACATTAAATTCTGGGCATGTGGTTAGATAGTAAAACTGAGCTGAATATCATTAAATAAATAGACTGAAACTGGAAGAATGATGATGCATTTAAATTCATCGCGAGCCCAGTAGGTGCCCAGAAAGTGATCTAGTTAATATTGCAATGTACATAGAGAAGAATCGAATACGGCAGCTGTCTCTCATGTCTACTTTCAACAAAATAAGAAAAGCTTGAAATGTTTAGATCACACCTAAGACGCTAAGGGGTGTCTATCGCACCCCTCTGCCGTTGTGATATGTTGAACAGGGGTTTAACCTTAGATACGAGAAGATGCATCACTGCAATTAAGTTCCTAATAAAGAATATTGCTCTGTCAGCAGCCTCTCCCATTGCGGAAAGTCTGAAATTTTTGCAAAGATGCAAGTCAAGTGGAGCAAAATATGTAGGCATTAGCCAGTGTGTTAAGACAAGCTAAGCAATCTCGAGCTAGATTCAGTAGCGTATTACTTTTAACAATGAGCTAGAGTTTCTGAGAGTTAAGTGTTGTTCAAATAATGAGTAAGCGTTCCAGAACAAAAATCTCTCAGATGTGATATAACAATTTTCCCGCGCATTATAATGATTACGGAATCAAGGTTTTAAGACCTATGCTAAGAACTCCAAGTCGATACATGAGTTGGTTTGCGGTGTAGATCGAACCACGTATTGTTCACTGCTATACAATAGAAGACTCATCTTTCAGCTGAGGCTTGAGCCCTTTGTAAGCTTCTTGAGAACTGAATCCAATGAAAGGTTGGTAATCTTTGATTCTCGTAACTTTGCATTTTTTGGCGACCACCCTGCTACAGCACATGCTACTTTTGGGGGATGCTTGTTCACGAAGTAAGGTATGTTTTTTTTTAACTCAATATTTTTCTCAAACATCTGATAGCCGAATTACCTTATGCTACAACAATATGAACAAAGTGCTTATAATGAGAAGATTATGTCGAAATTGGGAGCAAGTGCAGAACGCCCACTGTTTGTCACATTTTTAAGAATTGCACATACACGTCCATGACATGTCGACCTATTTCATCTAAAAAAAAATCTCAGAATGCACAAATGCATTGCGCACACTCTTGACATTATCCATGTACACTGCTAAAGTCCTAGCTAGTAACCTTTATCGCCTTGCCAAAATGTCGCCCAACTACCTGTTACCATATTCCAAAGATTAGCCAAAGGTTGCTATCCTTACAGATAGCAAATCTGTAGTCAGCGCTTGAGCTGTGTTCATAGGAGATTCAACTCTCTCATCCTTAAGCTCTTCGAGTAAATTAAGACTTTCCATCACCTCACAGACATCTGGGTTCCTGGCCATAAGGGTATAGGATTCAATGAAAGAGCGGATAAAGTTGCGAAAAGAAGAAATATGAATAACTCGGGGAATCTTTCAGGAAAGGATGCGTATAGGTTCATCGAGAATACTATTAAGGAAGAGCAAGTCGACAGCTGGTGGACTTCTTACACCGGCCGCAGATTCAGCTACTGCAATGTTCAGTGTAAGTGGAGTAAAGGATTAAACATCGATAGGAAAATGGAAGTAGTAATCGGTAAAATAGGATTGCAAATGTTGGACACGAACCAACTGTTGTACAGGTATCTTAAGAGCGAATTCGCCATTTTGTGATTCATGTTATATGCTCTGTGTGTGTGACAGTACAGAACATGCAGTTATTCACTGCATGTTCTGTTGTGTGTGACAGTACAGAACATGCAGTTATAACTGCATGTTCTGTACTGTCAAGCACTCACGGAAAGTACTATAGTGCCAAAAACATTATGCTCAAAAAGATGAAAATTAGCAATACTGACCACTTAGCTGATCTTTTAAATCATTGTAATAAGAAACCTTGGAGATATTATTTCCTATGCAAATTTTTCATCAAATACATCCTAAAGAATTCTGAAGTACTATTAGTGTAAGGGTTTGGTTTACGGACTGGCGTTTCCCCATGAATTGGAGGGAATGCATCCTTGTAGTTTAACATGTAAATAACATTATATCTAAGTTGGAGCATAAGGCACCAAAGGGAAGGCAAGCTTCAAGAACAAGAAGAAGTGATTCTAAAATATCTAGCAAAAATATAGAGATGAAAACAGCAGATTTTGTAACCAAATTTATGTGTGAAAATACCATGAGCAAGTGGTGACACATATGGAATATACAAAAAATAGAAAAGGGAAGAAAAACAAGTTAAAGAAACAAACATTTTAACATTTTACATAGGTTCTCGAAACAAACATTTTACATAGCTGCTCGAACATTTTAACATTTTACATAGGTGCTCGAAACAAACATTTTACATAGCTGCTCGAAAGTATAAATACCAGTAGCACGAGTAATATGCAATTCACAATGGCAGAGCACAAATTGGCATATTAAGCACATTTTAAGTGCCACAAGTGAGAGTTCGACCATTAAATTGTATCAGTTTCAATGGGACTTTCGTAAAGCATGCTCATGTCCCCAGATAAAATACATACATATCAAATCTGGTGACAACAGAGGCCAAGGAATAGATCACCTCATCTGATACAGTGCCTATAAGAAGCACTAATGTTAAATCTCTCTTTCCAGTTAATAAGCTCAAACATTTTATATTCACCACTGCCTTCTCAGGAATCATTCTTTGAGCAGTTTCTCTGTTTTATTTGCAGCTCTACAGATAAAATACAGTCTCTCTTTCCAGCTCTATATTTGTACAGTGATGTATACCATTAGAAGTCCATTCTGGGAATGATGATTTATAACAGTAATCACCTTTTTTCACCTACCGATTTCAACAGCACCCTTTACCACCTCTTTAGTGGCTTTTCGGTATATGCTTTCCATTATAAAATCTGCTTATTTTGGCGTCAATTCCCATTACATTTTAGTACCAATCTGTATATCATGCCTTTTGATTGATATCTTGTCAATGTTTCATTGTAAAGTGTGATAATTTAATATATATTGTTGTTTATGGCATAAGTGCATCAAAACCATGTCAGCACTCATTCTTTAACATGTCTGAAAAAATAGGCGGGTGAAGTGCAGAATCGCCCACTTACTTGGCACATTGTGTTTGCTACTTTTTACAAGAGTAAGAAGAATTGGATTTTTGTCAATTTCCTTTGACTTTTTAAGTGAAAATACATCGATGTGTCCATGGACAAAGGCATTGCACAATGGCGAATTTATGCAATTCTCCAATTTTTTTTTTAAGTGAAAATAGGTCGATGTGTACATGGAAACCGAGTTTGTGCAATTCTTAAAAACACGCCAAGCAGTGGGTGATTCTGCACTTTCCCCAAAATAAGACACTAAAAGTCAGTGTTTGTTATTGGAAAGATAATACAAAATGGGTGAAATGTTCCTTTACACAATAATAATATAAAATCACTTGCGGTTTACTACCAAAGAAAACCTGTTTACTTGCTGTTACTTATTTTTCACTTGCAAAACTCCCAAACAGCTAACCAGCAATGGTTTTAGCACAATGATTAAACAAAAGTTATCATTAGGGAGAAAAAGCATAAAGTTCATATAAAATGTGTGATAATAAGTATATATAAGTCTAATTTAGTTTTTTAAACATGCTATTTCATGTATATAAATTAAAACTAAGAAAAAAAGCATAATATTATAATCAACTTGTTAAACATGAGATTTAGGGCACATAAGTTAAAATTAGAACTACATAACATGACATTAAGCATGCAGAAGAAAAGCATAAAAATAGAGTAAATATTAGTTATTGAAACTGATTTGTAATTAATTCGTTTATTACACATGAACTAGCAAAAAAATTGCACATATATACGCAATTCTTCCATTTTATTACATATGTGTGGCCCTGAAACACCACATTAAGCTATCAGCATGAATAAATGCATTACAAAACAATGCAGTCACATTTATGTGCAATGAAGTTACAAAACCAGCTGTTGGTGAAATAATCGAGCATAAGCAGACTGTTTAAAACTATGTACTTTTTTTTTAAAATCACATATTTTCCTAGCTTTACACATTTCAATTTTGCAATGTAAACATAATAAAATGTACAAAAACTAATTTGCGTATGCATCTGAAATAAGAAGTTACAAAAAGTTTTTAAAGTTTGAACTTATTTTCTCACTTTTTATACAAACGATTTTCACAAGTTATAAATACTCTGTCAAAAATACTTTTAAGTTCAGAAAATTACAAAAAGCTATCATTGTTAATGTCAGCAATTTAAACAATGTTTAAAAAAATACTTCGGGATAAAATAAGTTTCAGAAACGTTAAACTTATTACACAGAATGATATAATTTAGCAGTTACTTTTTCCCAAAAAAATGTTCTCTGAAATTAGGAAACCCTAAAAATTATGGGTTTAATTCATTTTTAAACTCAAAATTTATCTAAAAAGAACAAATCAAGTTAAATAACTTACCTTGATTTAATACTCCAACAACTACAGACACTAATATCATCCAATACAGCGCAGAATTTAAAAACATTGTAAATTTCTCAATTCGAATATTTATGACTGAAGTCATTTTACAGCACATTGCATGGCATTTAGCAACGCCTCGAACCATGCATTATATACTCTCATTCTTCACTGATCTTAATGAAACACTTCATCCAGTCGAATAACTGTCAAGTTACATATTGTCTGTGATGTGATACTGTAAGTTATACAAATTTTACGATAAAGCTGAATCGCACCACGCATTAATCATAAAGGAAACGATCACACTTCGTTTCCGCTTCACTCGCAAATCAGCTGGCCAACTGCTCGTCCGAAATTCTTTGCTCACAATGATTTGCTGAGAAGTCCGCGAAAAAGAAAGAAAAAAAAGTTATAGAGGAACCTCTTCTTCACTTCTTCGCGCACATTACATTTTGTGAGGCAGTACAATAACACACAAGACCGGCAAAGAGGCATTATGTTATTTGCTAAATATTTGAATGCTTTGCAGAAGAATTTAAAATTATGAAAAATATCAATTGCATTTAAGAGCCTAAATCCATCTCAGAAAGTTATTTACAGCTTCGATTTCAAAAATTCAGCTATTGCTTCTCATATTTTCTAAATTGTAATAAAATTGTACGAATTCTAAAATATAGAAGCAATTTCATTCAAACAGTTACTAATGTCACACGCTTATTCACAAAACCTATAGACCGTTTCTTCTGCTCTTTGCTCCGATTGGTTAAAACAGGAAACGTAGGGTCTAGCGCTTGGCGACTTTTGGTTCATCGCCTTTACAATTTGTATCTGAGCATCGTGTACCAAAATGTGTGCATAATCCCCTGGATAAACCATACCTCAGCGGTAATAAGCGCGGGACATATTCTCAGACTTCTAGGTCGCCGGTTCTATCCCCGCTCGTAGCTTTCATAACCTCTGCTCTATACGGATTTATTTTTGTTATAACTTTTTGAATGACTTTGTCATTACTTGTCTTTTCGCCTTCGGATTAAAATTAAACGCCTTAATTTTCTCTATTTTTGTTAATCTTAATTTTTCTTATTTTTATATACTGGTTTGTACTCTTTGTAGTAGGTACCAGTAGCAAGATTACGATCCAAGATCCCGAAAGCGTTTCAATTGAATAGCGCATATGGGATAAAATATAATTTTTTTATACTTACTCATAATTAGGTAAAAGAATAGGTATCCGACTCCCTTAAATGTTTACTGAATGTTTTCTTTTGGTTAATTTTTTAATATTCCTTTATTTGTATAAATTAATGCGCTATGGAAATTTACACAACAGACTCTTTCTAACAGAAATGACGAAAAAGTGCATATGCTATCTCGATGTAAACACTGTTTTCTTGTAAATCAATTACGTACTTTTAAAAATTTAAATTCAAATACAAATAAACTGTTAATAAGATCAGTAGGTTATTTAAAATATATTCCACACAATACCTCTAAGCTTTCATTTATAAGCTAAAAAAATATCGAATGAAATAAACGCTGATTCCGTTTGTTTGGCGTTAATTACCACCTCTACAGGGTGATAACTCGCCATTCCAAATATGACCGCCAAGCAGATGTTTCCTCCAATGAGAGCAGCCCGTAGAAAAATGAGAGCAGTTTTTTGTAGGGAGGGGATACAGAATTTGATAGAAATAGTGAGACAAGTGGAATAGTAATATAAATAATAAATTGCATTTATTGATGCTACAAATAGGAAACATACGAAATTTAACCCCATTTTGAAAGTTATAAAACTGAACTACTGGATCAAATTTATAAAACGTGTTATCCGTTATCCTCCTTCTCACTATTTTAAGTAATGAGAAAAGTTACCATGTGAGACCTACATTTGGTCCTAAGGCGAGTCTTGGCAGCTGAATTCGAAAAGTAATTTTCCATCCCCTTAATTGTCCTGATTACTCAGAAGCAAATTGAACACATGCTTCGTACCTTCACTTTCAAATTACTTTCATATCCACATATTATCTTGGAAAAGAAACAGACCAATGTAAAACTAAGCATTCGAGGAAAATAGTTATGAAACATGATAAACTAAACTATAATTTTCACGTTTTTATAACAAAATTAAGGCTGACTTTTACTTACTTGCATTCTCGTCCTTTCGGGGTCTCTTAACTTTAGACATGGAACCAGTGCTCGTGAACTGCCGAAATCTTCTCAGAATATTCTGGTGGCTATCTAGATCTGTATCATATTGCCTTCGAAAGGCATATTGCACATTAATAATGGATAAACACTTTGTATATTCGTTCTTCTGTAAAGTCTCTTTTGAAGATGGAAGTCATAGTTGCTGCATCATGTGCGCAAGAATATTAGTTTAGCTGCACAATGTTTCTGGTGATCTTCCTGAGCACGTAATAACGTGCTCAGGAAGATCTCTATCATCGTGTTTCTCATAAGTCTTGGAAGAATGCTATCCCGAATTTGTGTAATGTCCAAGGCGTAGAGGGGTCGCTGAATTCCGCCTTGCCACCGGACATGACTGCTTACAATATCATCTTCATAGATTCAAAATTGTTCCTTCTCGGATATGCACTCTGTGCAGCTCTGGAAAGGTGATGAATGCCTCACATCTATCCCACTGTCCTGCTCTGCGCAAGACTTCTCTCGCCGAGCGTTGCTGAGAGCAAGAGATATGTTAGATTATTGGACTCTGTTGCAGCTGTTTTTTTCTCTCACTGTATTGCTGTAGTCTATGTTCTTTGTTTTGTATTTTTGCTGTAACTGTTCAAAATCTGCCATTGGAAATAAAAAAATGTTTCTGGTTATCGAAGGGAAACTAACTAACACATTACACGCATTCGCACTGTTATAAATAATGAACGCCAACTGAAATGCAAGTTGAGGAGCTGCATAATGTTTCTGGTTATAGAAAAGAATCTAATTTTCTAACTCAATATGCTCATGTAAAAATTTAAGAGCTGTTTTCTTCTTAACGGGAGCATCAAAACCAAGTATTCCCCTTAGCTGAAAATTATAGGACTTTGAAACTCGGGAACCACTATAATGACCATGATAATTATTAATCTTCTGACCAGCAAGTTCATGTACATAAGGCTCAGAATATTTTTCTAAGAATTTTTAAGAAAGTATATATATATATATATAAAGGATGTCCCAAAAGGTCGCTCATAAATTTTACGAGTTAGTCTATCAGAGCATGATGAACAAGTTTTACACAGAAGTAGCGTCCGAAACCATGACCAGTCACCACTAGCAGGCGATATTCGCAGACGTATTGGAGAGTGGAAAGCGGGTTCGTTTCAGGCGAGGACGGTGCAGAAGAATGAAGCCAGTATTAGGGAGTATTATTTAGCATGTCTTCGTACAATATGTGTTTAACAGCTGCAGCGAGATACACCCACGTCTTCTTCTACAGCTCTGATACTTGTTACCAGGTTCCACTGAATTTCCTGCAGCACACTTTCCTCAAAGGTGTATAGAATGTTATCGACTGATGTGGCTGCTTACACCGAAAGCTCCAGCCTCACTTAATGTAAGGTGCAATTTTTCAAACAGTAGATGACTTGAGAGAACGTCTGTTTAGAAAATGTTCTCCCATTTCCATCCACATCCCATAAATGTAATACACATTTGGCGATTTCCTCCTTACTTAACCGACACATCCTTTCCCTGCAACGTCCTCGCCTTAAATACGAGTAAATGATCTTAATTCTCGCTCTCCAATACGTATACAAAAATCGTCCTCTAGCGGAGATTGGCTGCGATTTCAGACACAATTTCCTATGTAAACCTTTCTTAACGGTCTGAAATCATGGAAAGTTTGTAAACGATCTTTTTGCGACACTATGTATGTTCATCTTGAAATATGTAAAAAAATATAGGCAATGTATTATAAATACAAAAATTAAAGTATAAAACAGAAAAGGCATTTTGACATCAAAATCAAGAAAATCTGTCTTTCTTATGGCAGTTTTGGAAAATTTGAGGTTTCCTAGTGAAACCATCTGACGGTTAGAAATGTTTTAATGCAATATGAAATGTTTTGCAAAATATATCTCAAAGCTCCCACGATGACATTTGAGATATGAAAGTGAGTATTGCATCATCCATATGGTATAAGAAGATAAATATTGGTAGTCGAATATTCCACTGCGAGGACCTAGAAGTGGGTTTGAAAAGTAAAAAATACGTCAGCCGTTCAAAACCTAAAAATTTTAAATTTTGCACGCGAATTATGATCGAGACGGATACCGCATGCTTTTATATAATCAATCATTTTTATAAATTTTGTTCAGTATGCAGTTTACTAACTATTTATATCAACTGCTCTTAACAGTGCTTTAAAAAATGTTTCTGATCTTAAGGGTTCCTGCATAATTATTTCAAAAAGTGCTTTATAAAAATTATACGGGATAAAATGTTATTGTTGTTGAAACATTATTAGCTGATAACACTCATAAAAAAGATATTTTTTAAGATATTTATATATACATATATAGTATATATATGCGTTTGGGACTGCCGATTGAAATTAAAAATGGAGGTGCATACCTATATGGGACGTTATGGCAGTCCCATATACAAAATTTCAACATTCGACGATTAATCGTTTTTGAAACACACACGTACGTAGATATGCATGTCACGAAAAAATCCGTTTTACAGCCCGTTTTTGAATAAAGAGTACTTTATTGTGTCCATATGCATAGACATCATGCAAAAATAAATAGTCAAAATGAATTCAGGAACAGTCAAAATTAATATTTCCGATGAAATATAATACTCGAAATTTTTCGCGACATACTTCCTTTACTTTGTACAAGGAAGTAAAAAGAGGCGATAGCTGTTTCTTTCTACATTAGACATAGAAAATGCTTTTGATAAAGTATGTTATGCTGGCTTACACAGATTTTTTACATGACAGAAAATTCATGGCAGAAATTACAAATGAATTCTTTGAGGAGAAAGTGTACTCAAGGATTTCTCCTAGGGTTAATATTTTTTTGACCTTCAGATTTTCGAAGGTCAAAAAATTAATTAAAAATTTCCAATGTAGTGTTTCTATTGTTATGTTTACAAATTATTTACATGACACAAGCCTATTTACCAGGTCAATAAGGCCAAGTTGAATAATTTATCTTTTGCAAAATGTTATAATTCCAGTTATCGAACTGTTTGACAAATGACAGCTAAAGATTAATACTGCTAGAAGTATCATGAGACCATGGCAGTATTCTTTCATTCCCAAGAAAAAGAATTCATCAAGGAAAACCTATGCGTTAATGTACACCTTACACAAAATAAATAAATAAAAAAAAATTAAAAATAAAACTAAACTAAATAAA